GTGGCAGTGGTAAACTGTTCCTGATCAAATCCTTCTGCCAAATTGGGCAGAGGGAGATTTGAAGGCAGGCCAGCCACATCACAGCAGATCATGGTATGTACATAACAGGATATTCAATTCCCTATTTGTGGATGTTGCACAGGAAAGAGCTGACACAACTTTGGTACCCAAATGCATTAAGACTAGCACAGCTCAAAAACCTTCCTATCTGAAACTTCATGCCCAACTCAGATCTGCAGAGCTGCCAACACACTGGCAATGTAACTCAGTGTCAGGTCTTACAATGCTGTGCCTAGAAAAACTAAATTTATCCCACAGGTGGTTTTGAACACCTGTATTAGCACATAACATTCTGTCTAAGCAGTTCATTTATTTAATCTATTGGCACCAGCAAGATAATCTCACATCAGTTGCATTTACATATATTTGGTAAATATTTAATATTTCGCACTTCAGCTATCCCTTGAAAAAACAGCCTGAAATACCACAGGTGGGATAGAAACAATTCTTTTAACACTGTGAGAAGACAACTGGCCCCGTATTCTTAATGATCACTGAATATGTATTGCTGCTGCAACAAGGCTTCTGGCTCCTAATTCACTCACCCACAAAATGTTTTACTCTTTTTATCCATCTCTTTGCACAGTTTAAAACAAATATTTGCTCTGTAATCAGCGGATGACTCTGCACCGTTGTACTGGTTTGTGCTGGAGAGAGTTAAATTCTTTCATGGCAGCTCGTATAGGGCTGTATTTTGGATTTGTGATGAAAACACTGTTGATAACAGAGGAATGTTTTCATTATTGCTGAGCAACACTAGCACTGCATCAAGGTCTTTTCTCCTTCTCATACTGCCCCACCAGGGAGGGGACCTCAAATGATCACAGGGATATCCCAGACTATATGGCATCATGCTCAGCATATAAAGTTGGAGGATGTAGTGAGCTGACCCTGGCTGGATGCCAGGTACTCACTAAAGCCACTCTCCCACTCTCCCTCTGCAACTGGACAGAGGAGAGAAAAAAAAACAGCTAAGGATTCATGAGCTGAGGTAACAGCTGGGAGAGGTCATTTACTGATTACCTTCATGGGCAAAACAGACTGAAAGTGGGGATATTACTTAAATTTATTACTAACAAGATAAGAGCCAAAGAGTGAGAAATAATCTTAAAAACACCTTCCCCCCACCCCTCCTTCCTTCCATGTTCTCCCTCCTCCCCCCCAGCGGTGCAGGGGGACGGGAATGGGGGTTACAGTCAGTTGTTTCTGCCGCTGCTCAGAGAGAGGAGCCCTTCCCCTGCTCCCGTGGGGTCCCTCCCATGGGAGACAGTCCTTAATGGACCTCTCTAGTGTGAGTCCGTCCCTCAGGTAGCAGTTCTTCCCAAACTGCTGTCCCGTGGGTCACTCCTCCATGGGGTGCAGTCCTTCATGAATGAGCTGTACCGGCGTGAGTCCCCCACAGGGGCCACAAGTCCTACCTGGGAAAAACCTGCTCCAGCATGAGCTTCCCTCTCCATGGGCTGCAGGTCTCCAGGAGGACCCTGCTCCATCCTGGGCCTCCCATGGGATCACAGCCTCCTTCATGCATCCACCTGCTCCAGCATGGGCTCCTCCATGGGCTGCAGGTAGGTCTCTGCACCCCGATGGTCCTCCATGGGCTGCAGGGCTTCAGCTCTGGCACCTGGAGCACTCCTGCCCCTCCTTCTGCAGTGACTTTGGTGTACCTTGTTGTTCCCATGTTCTCACTCAGCACTTCCTTTCCTGGAATATTTTTCAGCGCCACAACCTTCTGTTCTTAAATATGTTATCACAGAGGCATTACTATCACTCCTGATTGGCTTGGCCTTGGCCAGTGGCAGGAAGTCCATCCTGGAGCCGGCTGGCATTGGTGCCACGGGACAGAGGAAGCTTCTGGCAGCTTCTTACAGAAGTCACTCCTGTAGCCCCGCCCCCTGCTACCAAAACCCAGCCATAGAAGCCTAGCACAGGGAAAGGAAGGGGAGGGACATTTGGCATAATGGCATTAATCCTCCCAAATCAGTGTTATGGGTGATGCTTTCCTGGAGATGCTAGAACATCCACTTGCCCCTGGGGAGTGGGGAATGAAGTCCTTGTTTTGTTTTGTTTGCATGTGCAGCTTTTGCTTTACTTATTAAACTTCCATTATCTCAAACCCATGAGTTTTCACACTATTACCCTTCCCATTCTCTCCCCCATCCTGCTGGGGGAGTGCAGGTGAGTGGCTGTGCAGTGCTTAAAAGCCAGCTAGGCTTAAACTACAACTGTGCTGAGAAGTGTCCTGTTAGGAAACATTTACTCATCCTAAAATATTACACAGTTGTTCAATCACCTGAGAGATATTGCAAAAAGTCTCCCTGAACTTGCAAATATGAAGTTGAATCATATGCTAATGCTTTTGTTGTCTTCACCAGAGCAAATAATCCTAGAAATTTAAACATCGGAATGTCTTTTTTTAATGTAGCTATCACAGAAGTACAATCATATAGTTTTCTCTGTAACTTAATGATTAACTGATTCCGTTTGAAGAACCCTGAAGAAAACCCAATCCACATCTATCATTTACCAAATAAAAATAACTCAGCAAATTAAGGAATAGGTTTGCAAGAAATAGACAACTGCAGATTAGAATATCCAGATCTTGACGACATCTTCTCAAAGTCATTTAAATGCAGACACAATTAGTTTAAAGTCTTCTGAGACACACTCACCCACCTCCCCCCCAGAATCTTTAATTGCCACCTCTCCACATAAAATGCTATTAGTTTTCAACTTCTACTTTAATTATCCCATCTTACTCTTTTCTTCCCTTTACTTCTATTTTCACATCCTTCCTATGACACCCATTTCCAAAAAGCTCTTCTATTATCACTTAAGTCTTCAGCTTTTTCTTAACCCAAGCATTCTTTACTGGCATTAATCTTCAAATAAAGTTTGTGAAGCTGAAATTTATCTCAAAATGCAGGAGATATAAACAAACAAGCTTCTGAACAAACAATAAAGATATTTTGTGCAGGAGAGATTGATAATGAGCAGTGGGGAGAAAGGTCAGCTAATGAAGATGTGTAATAATCATATTTTCTATTTTTGACAACTTTCCTCCAAGGAAGACTGGATCATGAATCCCATTTCCAGTGAGATAAAACTAACAGAAAGGATACCAATAATTTTCAGTAATGCTGGATAAAGCACTTGGTTTTGGAGAATTGATGCAAAGATGTGTCAGCTTCAGGTGAACTCTGGATTTGCAGATGGGAAAGAATAGTTATCTTTTCCCATATTCAGAAAGTCAAAAGGACTTTGAATACTCAAGTAGGCATTTCTCTGCAACTTGTATAAAGAATTCATAATGCCATCTCACCTGGGATTTACTTTCGCACTCCTTAGTGTGCATTTAATACTCATTCAATAAAACCAGATGGTCTACACATAATTGTACCTGCAAAGTCTTCATAATTGTGAGACCAGTCAAGGTGCCTCTTAAAACCTCTCAACTAGTTTTCAGAACAATCTGGTGCTGACTACTTTCATGATTGATTTGCAGACACAAATAAGTGGTGATGTTTTAAAATCTAATCTCTAAAGCCTTCTTCAGTTGTAAATGTTTTCCAAAACTAGAAAGTACAATCTATTGGTTTTCTATTAAAAAACAAGGCTAAAAAAGTGTTCTGAAAGGAATTCAATCCTGTAGTTTCACATAACCGGTACAATTATAAATATGCTCCCCTTAGTACAAGTACTGGGCCACATCCAAGATCCTAATGCCAGTCTTTCCTCAAATACATTGAAAGTGATGGTGCAGCCCATTAGCACTCAGCCTCAGGCCCCACATGTGTGACACAAAGGAAGGCAGTCAAAGCTGTGCCTGTGCTGAAGACCATCCTACTTTTTAAAGCAAGAGTAGGTAGTAACTGTTCCCTCTCATTTTCATAAAGTCAAGTGCCTCTTCCTCCTTGAACTTGCTCAACACAAATGATGGACCACAGACAGCAGAGCCAACAAAGAGAAAAGAATGATCAGGAACCCAGGAGAGGAGCATCTAAGGAACCCTAATATTGTGCTCTTTGTTCTTTTTACTAATCCTTGGCTCAACAAGGGTCAATAAAATGTCCACTTTCTAAATATCTGTGAGGCAGTTCAATTCAGGCATTTAAGTTCTAAGTTTCAGGATGTTCTGTGAAAAAAAAAGACTCATCATATCTGTCAGTTACTTACTGGTGGACGATGTCAAAGAAAGAGTTCATAGGTGGAATTTTTCCAACTCCAAGAAACATAACCACAAAGGCAGAAATTAGCTATGTTTGGAAACAGAACTATAACTGCTGGCCAACATACTAGGCAAAATAAAGCAAAACCGAACATCTCTGTTCCTTGCCATACCACTGCAGAAAAAAAATGTCTGTTTATGGCAGTCCTCACTATCCTGTATATTGCTCCAGACTGTTTTTCCTCTGGTGCACCAGAACCACTTCCTCCAACTGTGGCTGTCAAAGGTGGTTGTTAAATAACCACAGGAAAGATGACAAGTTTTAAAAAAATAAATATTACCAATTGTTTTTCCTCAGTTTTATACACCTGGAGAGGTGCTAAAATTTTTTCTTCATTTCTGTTGGCATATCTTTAGATGCACAAAGGTATGAATGCAATTCTACTAAACCACGAGTTGACAATGCTTAGAAAAAATCTGCGATTTCTGCTCTGAATTCAGACACCCGCCTCTAGTAGGTAATATCTACAATGTATGCTTATTTCAGGGGTCAGTTCCTTGTTCCTTAAAATAATTTTATTGCTTTGTCCTTTACATTTTCCATAAGAAATTATTATTTGTTAGAAAGTGCACAGTGAACCAGAGCTCCTTTCTTTCTCTAATACATTCTTTATTTGACATGCCCTACATTTTTGGGATGCTGTCCTAGAATTGCTTACGTAAAAAAAAAATAAAATAATCCTTTGTGCAATGTAACAGATTATAATTATATTCCTTTAGAGTTTCTAGTCCGTTTTATTACAACCCTTTCATCAGACAAATTCAAAATTCAGTGACTCATCTTTTCATCTTGGTTGGTTTTGCCTCCTGTGTTCCATTCCTTTCTTTCCTGCACAAGCAGTATACAAGGTAACTGTAATCTGAAAAAAAAAATCTTTCAAACTGAATGCAAGTATTTCAGATTGTATCTTTTCTTTTGTTCTTTGATAGTATGATGCCACTTGCTCACTAAGAGGAATTAATGCTGAAAGCTAAACTCTTCTGCTAGATTTCAGTGTGTGTCTGTGGAAATACCACAAACACTCATTTGTGCCTGGATATTCACAAAGATTAGCTAAATTTTGTTAATGCCAAATGCCTTTTCACAAAGTGTGACTAGGAATCAGTAACCAACACTGCTTATAGAGCAACATCTCCCATTAACTCCATCACTGATGTGGGAAGTCTTGTCTTTCTGAATTCTCAGATGATACTTCAGTTTAGTGACTACTACGTTCTCTTCCCTCAAGTTACTATTCACCAGATAGATCACAGTGAGGTACTGCATGTGAGTGGACGCCCGAACCAGACACACTGACTCGAATGTTCTGCTATAAAACTTCTCTATTTCAAGTCTAGTAATTACGGACTTTAATTTACTTTGATGAGGGAAAGCTAACTACATTAGCGAAATCCCAATGGAGGATAGAAGGGAAAGAGTTGTAACCATCAGTCTGCTTACCTCTCCATACTTTTGGTGAGTTGGCAAAGGGACAAGACAGACTTCTCCCTTGTCCTTCCAGAACATATCCCATTTTGGGCAACTGAGCTGTAGCTGATGTCCTGCAGGAGTTCAGCTACCAACTGCTTATTTTCAGAAACCCACAAGGGAAGAAGGAGAGATACAGTCAAAAAAACCCCGCAAACCAACAGAACACACTCCGCAAAAAGGTTCATCCCAATTACAGGAAGATTAAAGCTGTTGACTTAAGATTTATGGGAAATGTTCAGCACTTCCTCTCAGAACAACTGTTGCAGTCAAACAGCTGCAGGAGAATGAAACGTTCACTTTTCAGAAAGGAAGCAAAAACTCATCCCAAAAGTAAAAGTCGTGATTTGATCTGCTGCGAGTCTTTAAAATAAAGACTCACTAAGTATTTGTGTCCTAACTTGAACTGTGACTTTCCCAGACTGAATGCAAGCTTTGACACAAGATCTTGCTTTGGTGTTTGGATGGGAAGTGGAACACATGATACTCTAACTAATTCCAGCATCCTCTCTAGGAACCTGTTTTGAAAGAAGAGTTATCAGCAATACTGGCTGACTGAAAATAGACTTTACTTTGGAAACAAAACAAACCCTTGGAAGCTTAGCCCTAAATGTTTCAGTGCAAATCAAACGACAAAAAAAGTGTGATATGTGAAAAGAAACAATGACAAACTCTTTCCACGCTTAAAAAGCTTTACATGAGGAGAAAACTTGCCTCAAAATAACCTGCATTCTTCAAAGCTGTCAGATGAAAGTGATTTATTACAAATAACACGGTAATTCCACAGTAAATAATTCTCACTTTTGTTCAAAATGCTCTAGCATTGTAGCACAGCTAAATCAAGAATCAATTAAACAAAACACTAATTCAAGCTCTCCAGAATGAAAAGAAATGGGGTAATAATGACCTATTAGAAGCCTTCATAAAAGCAAACTAAACAAATACAACCCCAACCACTAATACATTACTCAAAGGAAAAAATGATCACTCCTTTTAATATCACCAAGAAAAAAATCACTGCAACAAATTTGCCTCATACAAATATGAATTTTATTTACAATTTTCCAAATTCTCAATCAAATCAAACTTCTCAGTTAAATGTGTAGCATTTCTCCTTTAAAACAAATGAAACATTGTGTTCTTTTTACATCTGCAATATGGAGTCCATAGGTACATGCTATTTGGGGCATCTAATGGAACAAATTTAGATCACTATGTGTGTTTAACGCCAAAGGTATTCTGTGAAGACTTTCTTCAAAATTTATCTGCCTCAGGGACAAGCATTTCTGTAACCAGTTTCTAATGACAACTAGTTAGGAAGGTTTAAAAACCCAGTATTTTATACCAGGACATACCGTTCACATATACTTCAGGGTGCGTTACCATGTTCCTATTGCAAAGTTGCCTGCTCTAAAAGCAATGCTACTGAAATCAGACTAAAGATTGCCCACAGATTTAGATATTATTCAATGTGAATAAAAATGGCCATTGATGACTTTTACTCGAGTATGTGTAATTATGGGCCAACCTGTACCTGATCTGGTACCAATGTGATGTGATCTGTTCTGAAACTTGAAACCGCATGGGTCATTATAATAATAAAATTTTTTACAACTGTATTGCACATAAGATTCCTCAAAAGCACAAATCTACATAATTGTGTCCTGAACTCAGAATTTACCTGCTAACTGTCACGAAAAAATCAACCAGATGTTAAAATCACTTATTTTTCTCATCCCAGTGTCTGTGAATGAAGAGAAGAGGGAGAAGATATGTACACTTTGGAATCCGTTCAATTGTTTGTTTCTTCTGCATGTGATTTGTACTTCAGAGATGAGGATTTAAAAAAAATAAAAAGCCAGACAGACCTTGGATTTATCTTTAAAAGTACCTCAAAAACATAACAAAAATTCAATTTAATTTTGATACATATTAAAATTTTAGTCAGTTCTGCCCGACAGCATAACACGACAGAAATGCACAAGACTTTAAACATGCTTTAAAATGACATTCAACAAAGTATTTAAAATTTAATAAATAGCATACAATCACACACAAATACATTTCATACTGGATCTTTAAGCCTACTGAAAACAGACTGGCAAAGAATAAATAAAACAGTAGTTGACATTTTTGTTTTTAAAAGGTGTAGTTTCTTGTTGTCACACTAGTAGCCACATATTAACCTGCTTATCACAAAATTGGAAGTTATGAGCTTTTTTTCTCACTGATCTGTTTTGCTCCAACATGTAACATCATAAAAAAATACACTAAAAGGGATTTATTTTTTTTTTAAACAACCAGTCTGCAACCAAGTCAACCAGTTTTTAAATACAACGAATAAATAGGGAATTAGTAAAGCAAATTCAATTGCAACAAAAATGCAACACCCCAAGAAAAGAGCCATGGAAATATATAGCCATTGCAATATTAGACAATAATAGTACTTAAAGTGATAGTGCTTGTGCACTAAGCTCATTAGAGACCTTAATATGATTTTAGTGCAAATCCCTTGAGTCCAAACAAGCTTTATACCCTACAGTATTAGGGAAAGATCTATTACCAGTTGGAACTTATTCTGTAGTGTATTTGTACATATCAGATATTTAAAGAACTAACACATATTGTAATATCTTCGGCCCTTTTTTACTTCAAATCAAAAAGACTAATGACTGGGGATTTTACATACAATTTGGCTGTACCATATTAGACTGCAGTTTAGGAAAGTCAGCGCTATAAAAGCTTTTGCCATCAGTTTATCTATTATGTCTAAATTTCATAGATCATTGCATTTTGTACTTCTGAAAGAAAAAGAATGTTCCTGGAGAAAGTTTCTCCTCCCTTTAAATAAGTTCACATTATGATGACATTTAAGAATATTTAGACAAAGTGTTGTATAAACTCAAAGAAAAGTACATATTTTACATTAACAATCCTTACCAGTACTTAGTATATTAAGTTACAAGTATGTTGGCAATAATACAACAGAGTCAATTCCTAAATGAAAAGAATTCTGTACAAATTCACCTGTTAATATGGGGTTAAACAGGCAGCCAAATGAGTCTTGAGCAGCCGTGTTTCTGGTTTGAACTACAGTACCAGGATAAACTAAATTTGAAACTAACTGGGAAAACTTCGGTTTAAGGAGTAATCTGATTATACTGGATACACACTGTGTATTCAGAGCCATTAAAATATTCACTCTAATAGTTCCAAAATGTCATCCAGTATAAGAAAAGTTTAATCAACCACACAGGCTAAAGTAGTTTTAACATACTGTTGTCCTGGATTTTTTAAAACTAAAAACTAGTTTTAACTGTGAAGTACAAAACAATGACAGATATTGCTCCAACTTGTACACAATCTTTCCTAAACAATCCGTACCTAGCAGAGTAATAATGCCTCATCGTCACTAGTTTCATTTTTCACTGTTGCCTCTAAGCAAGTGTCGGGGATCTGGGCAGTGTGTACGATGCCACAGCTCTCACAGGGGCCATCTCGACTGCATGACCTTACACCGTGATGCGTTGCACTGTAAGGCTGTCTAAGCCCTGGTCCTTGATCTGAGCTGAGATCAAGTAGAGGTCTTGAACAGTCATTCATGTCAAAGTCTGATGCTACATCAGAGACTGGAATTAACATTTCAACATCATCATCCTCTTCTCTTCCACTTACCCCATTATCAAGCTGTCTCAAAGGACTTTGGTTCTGATTCACTGAGCTTGATCTCCCTAAAGTGAAGCGCACCCAGCGCAAGCCTTGAGTCATACGACTGAGTGCGCTCGTGAGCTGGTGACGTGCAGGACTTGTGCTCGGGGGCTCTACACTCGTCACTTCTCTTCCACCATCCGTGTTACTGCCATTGCCACTCTGAGCAGAGGAACTCCCACATGCTCCCACTGTTGCTTCTATTGCTGTTGCAGGAGGGACTTTTTGAGGCAAGGTGGCAGCAACACCACCAACTGCTCCTGCTGTGTCTCTTCTTTCATTTTCTGTGTCTGTATCATCAGATTCAACTGAAAATAAACTTCTGTGAGTATTATTTCTTTCAGTTTCTCTACTAGTACTTTGGTTGGCAACATCATCTCCATCTGCTGAGACCAATGCCAACGATCCAGAATGGCGTGACCTTGCAAAATTAAAAATTCGATTCCAAATATTACTTGATCTGCCAGCAATAGGAAGTCTGATTGAGGTAAATCCAAGCTGAGATCGTACTGCCAGCCTCAGGTTTTCCAGAACTGAAGCCTAAATGGGAAGACAAGCAACAAGCAAGTGTTAATAGTACGTTGGTACTGTTCTAACAAAGAAAGAATGATAATGATTGTGCAAAACAGCCTATAACCATGAAGTAAAATGTAGAGCCTTAAATATTAAAACACGTTGCATCTTTAATAATAAGGATCTGGTAAACGTAGCAATACGCTATTTTAAAAACAAAGTCGGCATGACAAAAGTATAGATTTTCTAGATGAAAAAAATATTATGAACAGGGAAATTAAGTGGAAATACATATGGAAGGGGAATAAAAGAGCAATGAGGTATATATAAGGTACACTTCTGCCCAAAACAAGGATCTTTAAACAACGGCAAAGTGAAAAGCAAGGCACTATAATCAGGATATGGTACAACCACAGACCCAGTAGAGCCGGCATACAAGATCTGTTACAAACAGTTGTACAAGGAAGGTAAAGTAGTCACTGTAAATTTTAAAGAAAAGCACATAAAAACATAAAAAGTTTAGGATTTGAAAACGAAATCTTTCAGAAAGATTTAACAGAGGTGACCACCTTTCCTTAGCCACTACCATAGGGCTGCCTCAAAGGGACTAAATTAAATATCTTCTCCAGCAGAGCCTTGTAGTTTGATTTTTTTCCCATTTTGGCATAATCAGTTAATTCCAGTTTCAAAATGTTTTAATGCCTCCGTTTAAATAAAATTCTCTTATGTGTTCTAAATCACACATTTTCCAAATTCAGTACGAATTTTCCAGCTGTTCAGGTATAGAGGAATGCATGCCTGAATTTTCCTCTTTAAAACTTTGCATAACTTTTCAACTGTAAAGTAACACAAACATATTAACACCTTTGACTTGCAGATCCCTTACTCAAACTTACACAGAAAACACTGCCTCAGCTAAGTAGCTGAATTCTCAAATAG